ACACAATGAACGAGCAATGTTTTACATTTGAGCTGTTGTTTTTTTTTAATTTATAAAAAGGTAGTGTTCGACAATTAAATTGAAACCTCATAAATATGTCGTTTTTTTTTTTTTTTTGCATATATACTGATACGCACATATTTATCTAATTGTAAAAGAACACTTCAAAATATGAGGTAAATAGGGAAAAAAATATAGTTCGGATCCTTCCAGCATTTACTAAGCAAGTATTCTAGATCACTACAAGATGTTACAGATGGCGCCATAATGAAGTACGATGATCGAGTGCATTGACAATAAAGAACGCCATACGAAATAACCAATATCAAACAAGATAAAATAAAATTCGTGAAAAAGGAATAGAATCGACAAATTGCTGCTCGGGGGAAATCAAATGTACTAAACAGTACCAGATTGGCAAAGTAAATATGGGGAAAAATTCCTAGAGAAACAACATTCAGCCAGATTAAATATTCTTAAATGTTACCAGGAATCTGCGAATACATGAACTGTATCGTGAGGCGGAGAATATAATATGAGCTCATTAGAAAAAAAATGTGATAAATATCTAAAATTAAGTGAGAATTGCAAAAATAAAATCTGGTAAACCTGGAGCCAGGTCATAGAATTTGGATGCAGAGGTTTTGTAGGTAAATCTTGGCGCACAGCATTCATATTGGAATTAATGAGACAACAAAAAAGCAAGTTTTAAACGTCGAAAAATATGAATCAAACACTTACATAATTTTTAAATATCTCAGAATAATTCTAATAAGACAAGTTGGATAAAAAGATAATTGGAAAACATATTTCTTAGTACCGACGCGTTTCGTCAATCCTACTTCATCAAGGCAAGTTTAAAAGCGAAACGTTTTTTGTTTTTTTTTTACATTAAATTTAAATATAAAGGGAACGCTTTTGTGTAAGCTTCCTTCTGGATATTGGTAACTTGCTTTGATAAAATCGATTTGACAAAGAAATATATTTTTCCAGTTGCTTTCTTTTTATCCATAATTATTGTTATTTTTCAGATAATCACGTATATAAATAATATGAAAATTGACAAATACTTAAGGAAAATGACAGGAAAACGAATTAACAAAATATCAAGCAACTTACCTGCCAAGTGGCGAAAAGGTATTTTGCCCACCTCCCCACGTGTAGTCGAGGAAAATTGGCGGGAACAATTCCAGGACATTAAATAGGTAAACAAAGACGGCAGTTTTTTAAAGCAGTTTTCATTGGCTGAATTCCAAAATGAATCAACGCTCAGGCCACATTTCGCGGATGCATATATATATATATATATATATATATATATATATATATATATATATATATATATATGTATATATATATATATATATATATAATGCATATTTAGGTATTAATCCTTCATTTATACATGTTTCATTAGAGACGACGGACAAGGTACTACGATTAACCTTTTTATTTAATTTTTCTTGTGTTCGAACAAGTGTTTTCTTTTTTGGACACAGAGTATGTACAAGCTGTCCAAATGTTCTATAATTCCGAGCACTTTCGGCTATACTTTTAGCCATTATCATGGATGATTTGATTTTTGCTTTTTAATTGGGTGCATGGGTTGTGTGTATGTTTTTAGAGTTATAGGAATGTTTTATTTTTCCGAACACAGCACTTTGTGGCCGTATTCGTAGGTAATATTATTAAGTGTTGACTTTTTCTTTTTTTATTGTTAAGGCTTCCATTACTTTTTTATAAAGCTTAAAAAAATCTCTAAAAAAAAGAAAGAATATAGAGTACTAAAAAATGATTGTTGACTTCGTCGTCAGTTTGAATATTTATAAAAATGCATTTAATTTAACTTAATATTTAATTTAAACCATTAATCTTTGTAAGACAATAAACGTAATATTTTATGGAATTAACATTAATTCCATTTATAATTTTACGCGCGCGCGAGTTTCCTCCCTTTGTTTTACACTCGTGCGTGTGTGCGCGCGTGTTTTCACCTTTCCTTTCACTCACAGCTAAACATAGCAGTAAGCTCCTTTTAGCTGCTACTGATTAACTCATGATAGATTTTGAATTTTCCCGCGCGTTTCGCAGCGTCTCAAACGGCCAGCGTTTGCAAGCCAGTTGTTTCGGTCCTCAACCTGAGTAGACGGGCAACTCATTTTATTCCGTGCCCTTAATCCATATGCGGGCCGGAATATCTTATTTTTCAACAATGTCGACTGCACCCTCTACCAAGACTTTTTCTCCTTTTGAAGCTGCCAACAGGTCGGACCTTTTCTCCGTTTTCCACTGGAAGATGTTTTAGAGATACGCGACACTGTCGCGAGCAAAAAGTTCGTATGCAACTAATGGCGTATTTTTATCCCTCGACAGGGGCCTAATAAGTATAGGCAGGGATGTCCTACTGAACGAACAAATTGCTAATCACAGGTCAGGACCTTTTTTCTCCGTTTTCTACCAGAAGACGTTTTAGAGACACACGACACTCGTCGGCAGAAACTTCGTGTTCAACAGGTGACTTAAACTTACCCCCTGGCTTCGAACCAAATAATACAGGCAGGGATAGTTTACCTTTGAACAAATATTTTTCGTCTTTCTTTTGGGCTCGCCGTAAAATCATTCTACAAGACCATGCTTAGTTTCTATCGGCTAGATGCCCCACCCAGCAGTCCAGAACATTTACCAGCGGCCAATACAATATTACCTTTGAACAAAAACATTTTTCGTCTTTCTCTTTGGGCTCGCCGTAAATCATTCTACAAGACCATGCTTAGTTTCTATCGGCTAGATGCCCCACAGCAGTCCAGAACATTTACCAGCGGTCAATTCAATGTTTACCGAACATTCTTTATAACTCTGAACCTGTACATTAAAAATATGCATAATCACTTACAACTTAAAATATCCACAGTGAGTACTCCTTTCTATCTGTGCGCACACACTTTTTCCCGAACCTGAAAAAAACTTCTTTTTCCCGCCTTTGGCCTCTTGTATTTCTATTTTGGCGCGGAACATTTTTCATTGATCCCTACCTTTGGGATGAGTTACTTGTTACTGTTTAATTAAAGTTTTGTTTACTCATGTTTTATAAACAGATGTCTTTGTCATTTTTATTTCGGCTATCTTAATACCATTTAAATTATGCACTTGTTGATTGACCCCTTTCCTCATTGTTCATTCACGCATATTTATCTTTTTACTTTGCTTGTAGACTCGGTAGTTTAGTGTGGTGTCTGGCACAAGGCCACTTAGTATAATCCAGCACCGCACCCTACCGGGTCCGCAACAATTTCTTATTTCTAACCATTAATCTTATTTGCAAGTCATTAAACACTGCGTTTCAGTAACATCAGGTCAAGAATTCTTCTCGGATTCTCCCGACTCGTTCTCTCCAACCATTTCTGTCAGACATCGCCTTCGGCAGGTCCTCCAGATGGCATCCAGAGTCATCTAAATATTGGTCAATGTAGGTATGATGAGTTTTTCCAACCGATCTTTTGCCGCGTAATGAGTTCCATAGGTGGGTGTTCATACTTCTCCAAGAGTGACCATACAACCGAAGCCTTCTCTGGCTTAGCGAAACTGAGATAGGAGAAAGGTGTCCATACAGACGTTTCTTTGTTGGCTGTTTCTTCCAGCATAGGTTTATTAGAATGTTATTCTACAGGAATTTATATAATATTATGCCATTTGATTGTACCAAAAGAAATGCTAAAAACAACATATCTTAAATAGTGTGGGGGGATAAAATAAACAAGTTTTATTCATGCTTTTTACATGTAGACTTTTATTTACACTATTTATATGTAGATGTCATCATCATTATCATCATCATCATCATCATCATGTCGAGAATTCTTCTCGGATTCTCCTGATTCGTTCCCTCCAACCAACCTTGTCAGACATCGCCTTCAAATTTCCAGAATACTTACATTTAGGTGTAATTGTACATGCTTCATTCAAATCTGGCTTGATAAATTTGATAAAATCTACCGTTGTTTGTATACATTCGCTGCGGAATAGCTATGATTAGAATATTCAGTTGTCTTGATTCTTGCACACATAATATAGTCCTCTTGCGCAGTAATTGAGACATGATGAGACGATTAAGATCAGTAAAAAAAAAGGCCATTAACTAGATTCTTCTGTGCTTAGCTTTCCACGGCGAATGTATGCAAACAACGCCAGTAATGGTTGCCGCCAACGACGCGAATGAATCCGAAATTTTACTGTCGATAACTCCAAAAGGGTATATTTTATCAAATTTATCAAGTCAGATTCGAATAGAGCATGTACAATTACATATAAATGTAAGTATTCTGGAAATTTTTGATGCGAACTGAGCGCGGGTGCTAAACTCCAAATTAACCACTTTTCTAAACTAAAGATTTTTCTGTGGACCAACGACTCAGTGAATTTAGCTCAACTAGATACTATTTTTACTCCTTCGTGACTCTTTCGAATTCATGTACATATGTTTGTAAATAAAAATGATATATTTAACAGGCATATTCATGTTTTCATTATTATTTATTTTATTATTTGGAATTCGGACGTTCGGATTTTTAATATAACAAAACCTGAACGACTGAATTTTCTACAGAATGAAAAACTTGTTGTCAGAATATTGTAAAATTCTAGTTCAAATAATTTTTATGTCTCCCTTCAGATTGTAAGCTTCCACCTTTGATCGCTTTCGATTGCCATATATGACTCATGTAATGAATATGCATACACCTGGGTTCCCCCTCACAGTGATATTGGCAGGTGTCAGCCATAAATACAAACTGATGTGGAGGTACGGGACAACGCCTATCGTGTTCGCCTATTGCCTACCACTACGACGAGGACTAGTCCATTACGGTTACCTGCTAGATTGTCCTACCCGGTTACAGTAGTCAACAACCACTTTGCTTCTTCGAACAAATATATCCCTTTCCGAGACATATCAATGACCTATTCTCCATAATGAGCCAGTAAGGTATTAACTGCTCCATCATGCTGAAACACCGTTTCTCTTACGATCACCGGAGTTAAGCAACGTCGTGCCTAGACAGTACCTAGATGGGTGACCGCTTGGGAATACCAGATGCTGTAAGTTTGAATGTGCGGGTAGTGTAATGGATAACGGCTCGGAATTTGAAAAATAGGAGAGCCGTGTTCCAATTCTAGCCGGGTTCGTTATATTTTCTTACGCGCAAATACCTTTCGACGTGGTGTAATGGTTAACAAGTTTGTCTCGATAGATCAATTCCGACTGGATTTGATCTTCACCGGGCGCCAAACACTTTACTGCTTTGTGCCACAACCAAGCTACGCTGAGTAAATAACGGTGTCTGTGAATGCGTAAATTAAAATTCTTTACACAGGAATGCTCATGTCCAATTTTAGTTTATTCATTTAAGATTTTATGAGGTTTTAAATTCATCGAAATTTATATTTGCAAAATTACAAAGTAACCACCCAGATTTTCAATAAAAGCTTTAATTTTTCATGAAGAAAATCAAGCCAGAGAATCATTACATCGACCTAAATGCAATTTGGCTATTGACGGCTGGCGTTTCTTTCTTGCCCTGTTTAAAATAAAAATCAAAACATATTTAAGAATTATTCAGTAAAGTACATGCAGACAAAAGCAACATAGCTTGTTTATTACATTCCTTTAATTATTATACAGTTAACAATTTTATTTACATTGACATTTCCTTCTGTACGAATGTGCCATTCTCAACTCATATAGAAATATTGAAAATAAGATTTTTTATTTTATCATTTGATGATAGTAGATGAATACGAAAATTTAACAAAAGATTGATTGCTTCATATTAACAGTACACAGCATAAACTTGAAGGCTAGTAAAATGAAATAAATATTAAAAGTTTGTCTGAAAAATATGTATAATGCGGCAGACAGTCTTATTAATATTCAATGGATTAAGTATACTAAACTATTCCAAGGTAATTTCCAAGATACTCTTTAGAGTAAAACGAACAAAAATCAATAAAATCTTTGAAAAAAAATGGAGTTATTACTAATTTTATTATATTACTAATCATTTAATGAAAACAATATAAGGATAAATCAATCCCACAATACCATTGTTCAAACTTAATGCGTGTAGTATTCCTAAACAAGCAAGAGCAATAGACAAGAGAATAATACAAAAGAAAAATATGTTTAACTATACAAACAAGAATGAGACAAATTTTCATTTTGCTCTAATTCACAAATTACTTAAAAAGATAAATATTTAAATAATGATGTACCGACTATAACAGCAAGATTGTCCAAATCGTGTGAAATTAAAATTGTCCAATTGTTAGATTGAGATTTGAACTTTTGTATCTTAGAAATGATTAAAGTTATATTACTGAAGCACTCCGAGGTTTTTATAAAACTACTGGACTCTACTCTGAACAATAAGAATGTATAATTACATTTTTATCTTAACAGAAGAATCGTGATGAAACCGATCATAAACAAAAATGACATATTCCTCATTAATTAATCATAGTTAAAGATCGGATCGGAAGTCTTGAAATAAATTTCAAATATATATATATATATATATATATATATATATATATATATATATATATATATATGCCCAGGATCATTTTCCAACTTATTCAAGATGATCTTCGCCCTCTTTAACATTCTAGCTTTCTGTCCTGGAGTAACAAGTTGCCTCACAAGTTTCACATACGATTTTATTTTCATGTCTTTTTTCACTGCTCTTTGGACCATCATAGCTGAAACTCCTCTCTCACTTGCAAAACGTCTTATGAATTGATTTGATCTTTTTTAATTGATCTCTTTAGTTCTAAGTTAAAATGATGATCTTTCTTCCTTTTATGACCGCCTGGTCCAGTTTTCCTCTCTTTTGTTTCCTCTTTTTAAACTTATTCACCGTTCTCTTGATGGTTCTTGAGTATGAATTTTGGTACCATTACTGAAGACTTGAATGATCTTTTTCATCTCTCCATGGCTCATTTGGGAAGACATTTGTGCTGACAAAAAACGATTTTAATCTGTTCCCTTTCTAGCTGAAAAACGCAAAGGGTTTTTCAGTGATTCTTACGACAAATTGTGTCAAGATGGATAAATGTCTTATCTGAAAACCTGGAAAAAGGAAACTCAATTAGTTTAGTGGTTGTTTAGATATTAAACATTTTGTGTGATGGATAAGTATGCTGTTACGTGATTTGCACAATTTTACTGTTACAACGGGTATATAATTCTTAGAGAGTCAATGCTTCATGGGCGTGTGGCCGAGTAGTTATATAGTTAGCGTTCCAGCTATGAGAATTTTAGGTTAAGAAGGTGACTTCTTGATGTTATCGAACTAAGGAAAAGATCCTAGTGTGTGGAATGTGTATGAAAAATATACTACAGTTTGACCCAAATCTTGTGAGTGAAAATGGGTAAAGAAACCTGTTCGACGTTTGAGCGATTTGGCCTTGCTCCTGTACTGAAGAAGACCAAATCATGCACTCTCTTACAGAAACTGTAATTAAGGTTTACTCACCGTAGTTGCAGTATAAACCACAGGTGAGTGTTGACGAAGCAAAAACGTGTCTGTGAGAGCGTTTCCGGCAAAGATTAGCTCGCCACCTGAGGAAAGGAGTATATAGAGAAAACGCGCCCTCGGCCATTAACGATCTCGTTAGCATGAATCTGTGGCGGTGTTGCTATTGCGCCATACTTACAATTAATGTAGTAATTAAATGTCTAGTATTTATGATAAAATATAGACCTTTAATGTATTTATATTATTGCAAAAAGCCTTGTAAGAAAATATATGTCTAACTTGATTTATGCTGATATGTCTTTTCATAGTAAATAGTTTTATCATTTGAAATATTCGCAGATATTGCAGGTAGAAACAGCTATCAAGCAACTTGACCAGACTCGGTGAATGATTACGAGGAAAGTGGTAAAGAAGCAAAAGTTACTTTGAGAAACAAAAGAAAATAGGAAGTTGTGTATTGTCATGAGAGTTCACGCCCTGATAAGAGGGGAAGGTGTGGTAAATAAAATGAAACTAAAAAAATAGAATGTAAGAGATTTGATCAGCTTATTAAACATGAAAATGACAGACCTTATATTCACAGGAATAGAAATGGCAATGTTAATTATTAGCCGTTTCGTTATAAGGAAAAATGTGACATTCATCAACCCAGTAGCCTGTGTTACTGCCCGCTAAAATTTATAATCGTTCTCTTACAACAATTTTTCAGGAAAACAGGTTTCTCAAGTCCGTTATCGGTTCTAGCTCTTTCTCCTATTGATGAGGGTTTCCTTCTTAACCTTTTATTTGAAGTTGTTTGGAACGTCAGTATCTTGACTGTCATTTTTTTTCTCTTCGAGTTACATATCCTATCCATTATAGTTGTTGCTGTTGTTGAAATTCAACAAGTGATGTGGTTTTTGGTAGATTTCTCTGTTTGTGATTCTGTAGCGCCAATATTCAAAAAAGAATGATTTTTGCCAAGATCCACAGACTTCATTCGCTCAACGCCATTTTTTACTATTAATATTAGTAAGTGGTTGTATACATCTGAGAGTTTAGATATATCTGAACGCGTCTGGTACCATGTCTGACATCCTTATGAAAGTTTCGATCTGACGAGACTATTTAAGAACATGACTCAAAGTTTCAAGTTAATATTTTAGTTTTATAGCAATTTGTGGTGTTGAAACTACCCCTAGTACATCCTATTCCATATTCAATTTCCCTATCTCCTATACGAGATTTGTTATAATCGTTCCGCCGATCCACAGAAGTGGGTCCCCAAAACACTTGCAAATTCATTCATTTCTTGCTCCAGACAAAAAATGTAATGATACAAACCACATCACTAATATCAAGTGTAAGGAATACTTCTTTTCTTTTTATGTACCGTGTCCCTTCAGGACGTAGGCGATTATAGCTCTCCACTTCCCCCCTATCCCTTGTAGCTCTCAATAACTTTCGTCCATCTGCTCTCTCCCCTAGACCACGTTCTGTCATTCACTTACTTATGCCCGCCAGGTATGTCATGCGTTGCTTTCTCTTGCATCTCTGTGAGTATCAGATTCTCCAGGCCACCCTTTCTCATAACGTGTCCCAGAAATTTCAGCTGCCTCTTCCTGATACTAAGTTTAAGTTTCCTCCTTGTTTTTTCCTCTCCAAAACCTCATCGTTTCTTACACGCTCGGTCTATGATATCCTCAGTATCCTTCTGTAGAACAGTATCTCCATTACCTCGAGTCTCTTCTTCATCTTTGAGGAAATCTCCCAACATTCACTGCCGTAAAGGAGGACAGATGTTATGTATCAGCTCAGTACTCTTTTCTTTGTTACCAAAGAAATCCTCCTGTCTCGCAGTACTCTGTCTAGCTTTTGGAATGCATCCTTGGCCATTCCAATACGTCTTCAGATCTCAGCGTCGCACTTACCGTCCTCCGGCAAAACACTTCCCAGATATTTAAACTTCCTCACTTGCTTGATTTTAGTGTCGCCGACCTGCAAATCTCATTTCGGGCTCATCTTTTTACTGATGACAATGCATTCTGTCTTTTTGTAGTTTATGCTTAGTCCCTTCTTTTCGCCTCTCCTTTGCTACCTTCTGTAGGAGGTTTGATAATTTCTTTTACGTGTCTTCTACCAGTACTGTGTCATCTGCGCATCTTATGTTGTTAAGATTGTGGCCGCCAATGCTGAATCCTGGTAGGATTTTCAATTCTCTCAGAGTTGCTTAAGAATACTAGAAACTTGAAAATGCTTGAAGCTATTTGATTTTCGATGATCTCCATCAGATATCTCTGTTTAAAGATTACTTATATAATAATAGTAGTAGTATTGTTTGAAATAAATTTAACAATATAATATAAATTTATTTTGTTTAATAAATAATTCATTGGTTAACTTTATATTGAAATAAAACCTTTTCTATTTTACTTTGATATTTTAGTTATTAAAACATAGTTCAATCTTGTTTCACTTTCAAATGGATATCCAACGAAACTTAATCCAACAGATTGATGTTGAACACTAAGGAATCTTTAACTACATGTGAGGCAAATTCAGTCAAACTGAACGAAACGAAAATATAA